CCCCACACTCGGACACGCCGCTAGCGACCGACATAAGCTTTTGACATCACCACCCCCCAATCACAACGAGCCCACCCGGGGGGGGGGGGAAATGCCGGGGAGCTGAAGTCCACACATCTTCCAGTGGCCATGGTTGACAGACACTGGTCTAGACTAAGAACAGCAAACAGAAAAAGGGAATTAATTCTGTTTATTTCTTTGGCTGTAGGTTTATAGACCACATGGCAGTCACAGATCCTCTCTTCAGCCTGTTTTGAGTGCAGGTTCCTGAAGCCTAACAAGAAGCAGGAGAGCCCCCTGGCCCGGTACATGTGGAATGAACGAGTTTGCTCTCTCTCCTGTGAAAGGCGAAGGAGACCTGTTAAGGTGTATCAATAAACTGGAGCAGAACAGAATCCTCCATCCAACCTCAGTCCAGAAGGTTTTCTTGCATAAGAAGAGAAAGACGTTTTCATTTACACAGTGGCATGTCACTCACTACAGCAATGTTCCTAATCACTCGTTTTATTTATCAAACTGACACCCCCATTGCAGTCTGATGACCCTCAGTGGCTTACAGCACATACAGTGGAATAACACTTGAACATCTATGGCAGGGTTAAAACAAGGACATTTTAACAGAAAAACAGCAATTAAAAAATGGACAGGAAAAGGTGGCACAATGCATGTTAAAGAGAGGAAGGATTTCACCCCTGTCAAAAAGCGTAAGGTAGAGATGCGGATGGGAAGTTAAAAAAAAAAGTCACACCATTCTCTACAATGTGCTTTGCTTATTTCTGGTTTAGTCTGTTGAGCCAACCCAGCCAACAGCCAGATCCCTGCTTCCCCGTGACTATTAAGTCCATGTGGTATTAACAAGAAAAGTAAACCTGGGGTATAAAATCATCTTACAGGGAGGCCATCTTTGGATAGTCAAATTCCGGGCTCACGTTTTTCCCTTGCCCTTCCTTTAATGGCTCCAGGTTTGCATGTTCTGCTTATCAATGGTTCACTTAAGCATAGTTTGCATAGTCCAGCTTTCTGGTTGGCAGAACACATTGGACCATCTGGCTGAGTTCAAACAACATACGGACCCACTACCCACCCAACATTTTAGCCTTGCGTGTTTATTAAATTTATACCCTGCCTTTCCACTCTAGTGAATATTCAAGATACTGTGCAAACCCAGTCATTAGCTGGTCATTTAGAAGCCCTTGACTTCAGCTCAGAAACCCTAACCTGCATCATTGACTAGAAAAGCTAACTCTCTTACTTGGCAGAATACCAGGTAGGCCCATATGCACCGTATTTTAATGAGCAGGTGACCATGCTCAAAATTACCAGTTTTCACTGTAACCATACATAACATCACCCAATCCAAAATAAAGTCTCGTTTGAATCAAGCTCAGTTCCTGATGACTTCATGGACTTATCCATTTAGTTGTCTTGGCAACAATATAGACAGGATTTGCCCCTACCTTCTTGTGGAATATCTTTCCAACTTCCCAGTCTAACCCACAGCCTTGTAACGTCTCAGTAATCTCCCTTTCAGGGTCTACCCAGAGCCAACCCCACACTACTTAACTTTTCCAAGATCAGCTGAGGTTGAGTAGATCAGGGTTTTCCATGCTGTGCACTGTGAGAATTTGACGGGTTTTCATAAGAGCTTAAGGGGGGAGAATTCACTCGAATGCAGCCAATTTTCTATCACTAGAACTTTGTCTCTTGATTAGATATTCCAGGACTTATTTATTTTTTTAATTAACAGGTTCTGCAGCCTGAAAAAGTTTGAAACCCCCTGGAGTAGGTACTGCTCCTTAGATACGGAAAGCACTGATATGTTAGTGACTTTTCATGTTGCTTTCAGTGAAAACAAAGCACGGTTTAGTTTTAGACCCTAAAGAACAAAGGCTAAGTTACAGAAGGAGGGATAGAGAAGAGAAAGATTTTTAAATATAAGCAACACTCCCAAGGATGGGTCTTGCTGAATTTCCATTGCAGAAAGTGTAAGAGCTGATGCCGGTTTGCTGTCACCCATTCTGCACCCTTGTTGCCAGCCAGGCTCTGATACACCCCATATGTGTTCACTCATCTCAGCTTCAATGCTACAGGCTGAAAATAGGATGCTGTAGAATTTCTCTCATTTTTATCTACTGTATTTTTCTGTTATTTGCCTGTTAGAGTATAGGCTATGCGATCACCATCTCACTAGGGTTGGTGGGGAGGACATGAAGAAAAGACATCCACCAAGCAGGAGGTAGTACTAGGGTGTGTAGACCCAAAGGGTTTCTGGGAGGGGTTTGAGGCCTCCAACCTCTCACCCTATGGGTTTAGCCATGCTGCTACACTAGCTTGTTACATAAATGTTCTACATAGATATTACTTTCGTCATATACTTGGGAGTTCTCTCTATTGCCTGAGATTGGAATAGAAACATCCCTTCACATTGCAATATCATCATGGTCTAAATAGATGCTGAGTGAACATAGGCTTAAGCATATAATCTCTGCACATGTTTTTTGACTGACATCTTTATTATAACCAATTTTAAATAACCAATTTTAATGGACACCTATAATTATAGCCAGTTTTAATGGTGATATTTAGGAACACATTTTAACTGAAAAGGCATATTTGTGGCCATCAGTGCAATGCTGTGTTGCAAAAAGGGGTCCACTTCTTCCCATTTGGACATTATGAAACCAGTATATTATAACTGATAATGTTAAACTATCATGATAGCTGATCAATGTTTAGGATAGTTGATGTGCTTGAACACTGACATGCAACTCAAATAATTCCAGGTGTTTACTCTTTAAAATCTGGTTAAAGACATGCACTGAAGAATGGTTTAAAGAGAATGGGAAACCAGCAGCCACCTAGATATGGCTAAATTAACAGTGAGGGATATCAGGACTTGTATACAGCAACACTTAAGACCTGGAAAATAAATATAGCAAGACATAAACGCAGGCACAACGTACAAGTAATTGTACTCGGTTGCTTATAATCAAGCATTAACTATAATTTTTTAAAGGTTAAGGATGAGGATAGATCGTCATGAAGAAAATTATGAGATTGCTAAGAGTCAACACCAACTTGATGTCACATAGATCAATCAATTTTTGTGACAGCTTGTGGTGCAAACCTAGCCCAGTTTGGTTAGTTTATGATTCAGTGTATTGCAAGGGTTAATTCAATAAGCAAGTCAGGTGTCTGGTGTAAACATATTCAATGCATGGTAATGAGTGAAAGGCATATGTATGAATGGAATATGTGGTTCAGAATGGAGTAACTGTATGCATCCAAGTGGGATATGTACGAGAAATAAGAAATCAAGTGTGAATGGGTTCACATACTACATTAAGTCATAACTTCCTTAACCACTTCTTGAATAAACTAAAATTGTCTGGCTTCACACACAGTGCTAAGCTTTAAACTGTAAATTGCAAGCCACAACTGCCTAGATTCACAAACATGCTCAGCTAAAAGTCAGCTAATCATACTAGACTATTTAAATTCTGTTGTTGTTTGCTAAAAATGTCTGTTAATTTTAGCAGACCTTATCTTAATGATTCGTTAGTGTTTCCAGTTGTAAAACCTGGAGTTGGGGAGTCATTTGTATCTTCAGTCTCCTCACCTCCCTGTACCGACCAATTCCCCTCTGTGGGGATATAATTCGTTGATGTCATGTAAGTTTGTTGATCCAGAAGGGCAAATTCTTTGGCTAGGTCTACTCCAGTTTCAACCAGCTCTGTTGTAAACATACAATGAGGCCCCAAAGACCAGTCATGAATTTGCTGTACTATAGGACTGTCATTTGGGGTAGTTAAGCCGTTGTCTAACGCAGGGTTAAGAGAGGGCCTTGTTGGAGGAAAAAAGTCTGTGATCTTAGCTTGACTGCCTCCCTCTTTACAACCTTCTGTCTCTCCAGTCTCTGGCTCTAATCCTAGTCGACAATAGCTGCCTCTTGTAAGTACCATTTTAATAT